AATCACTTCTAGCAAGAGTTTAGCAGCAGCTCAAAGCATCACCAGTACATCCAAAATATCTAGAAGGCAACATAGCACAGCACAGTGAAAAAGAACCTCAAAAGCAGAACTGACCCAAAGCTTCTCAGCAGCCCCGGCAAAACAACTTCCTGGACTGTATTAACAGCCCTTGCAGAACTCCCATCACATGGAATAGGAAAGGAGTCAGGAGATGCAGGAGGACAGAGGCAAAAAGCAGCCCGGATTGCCAATAGTAAGACTAAATCGGGCTGCTAATGCCCACCCTAGGCAGCTGCCTACTCTTTGTGGTAGACCAACAAGGGATCCCTTTGGGTGTGAATTTAGAGGAAGTGCTGAATAAATACTGCTGGATCCACACGGAGATATCTTAACTGTTCAGCTACTACGTGATATCTGGGCCAGGTATGTAGTAGATGCTGCACAGTAAGAAGATTATACTGAGTCAAGTGAATGTGTGGTTGTATTGCTATTAATTAAATAATGCCTTATTTAATTTATACCAATACATTCTGAAGACTTACCATAATGGCAACTAGCCTGTGTGTCACAGCTGACATGACAGTTCATGAAAACAGGAACAGGGCTCAGGTACCACCATTAGTACTCTAGCACAATCAGCTATGTCAGGCAGAAATCTGATGGAACCGGTTACTGATTAGGGGCATCTATATTCAGCTGTAATAACTCTACTTCAGCTGTTATTGTACCATGAGGCATGCTGCTGGGCTGACCTCTTATTCTCTGATCACCATGGAAATGCTTGCCCATGTAATGTACCCAGGCCCAAATACAGTAATCTACTCTGTACTTCATGTAGGACTGTAAATAGCATTGTGTCCATCCTAGGGCCTTTCGTCATGCTTGATTGGAAAACTTTTTATTATGAGCATTCCACAGAGACACCGGCATGTACATATGGAAAACTTACAGAAGAACCTTGAAGAATGACAAAAATATCTCATGGTGTACAGCTAATTAGAAAATATTTGGTATGAACAAAATCTTTCTTTCTACCTGAAATGAATCATCTTATTTTCAAGAATTTTTACTGAAAGAATGGAAAATTTGATGTGAAGGATTAAATTTTCAGAGGATTTTTATGCCGTTCAACAAATAGTTGGAGAAGCAGCAATACTAAGTGTACTGGAACAGCTTCTGCTGAAGTCCATACAAATCCATGCTCCAGTAGCCTCAGGTCCAATAGCCTCTTCAGATAGATAAGATACCTCTTTTCAAATCTTGTCTCTGAAAGCAGCAAGGGGATGAATGCAAGTCTCCTCTATGGATACTTTATTCGCTGGGCTATAATAAATGAGCAGTTTCTGTTTTGTGAACAGCACTACATACTTTTTTAAGCATGTCCAGAAACATCAGAATGATTTGCTTTGAAAATGTCAAAACAAACCATTCTAACGTTTTCCAATTTTCTCTCTTTGTATTGATTTACTTTTTTTGATAAAAAAAAATATGGTACACCTCTTACAAATTATCATCAATTTAGGTTGGCACAAAATTCCATTTTGGAATACATTTTTCAGGTGTCTTGTATTCTGAATAGAGCTAAAACCACTAATCAGCTGCAGTTTCCTGGTAGCCTCCATTTCTTCTGGCTAGAATACTGCCTTATGCATCTTCTGAGGTGCTGGACTTCATGGGCAGCCTAACAATTTTAAGTCATGGACAGATGTTTCTGAATGTGCCGCTCATGAAGCACCTAAGCGAACTATCCTGCACAAACTCTCTGAAAACTGTAGTCTCTTTCATCAAATGTTTACATTTTCATTCCAAATTTCGTATCTCAAAATATTTCAGAAAAATTGAAATATTGGTTCTAAAACATTCTGACTTTTGCAGCAAATAATTTGCCAAGGCTAAAATAACTTATATGACACATTTCAGAGTAGTTTAACATCCTCCTCTCCCTCCCTCTCCCAGATCTGTAAGGCATTTTACTTTAGGTTCAGCAAAATATTTTTAACATTTTTTGATGGTTCAGCCCCACATGTGAAAAATCATTTATTCTCACTGCTACAATTCCAAGGTCCCTAGCCCTCCTTTCTGTGTGCATCATGGCATTAGAGAGAGTCTGCAGAAACTCTAGTCCTAATTTTCCCACCTCATCACCTGCTCTAGCTGGTATATTTTGCTAGTGCCACTTAGCTTTGAAACTAAGCAGTCCAGTGATTATATGCAGCTGCGTGTTGGCATGAATTACACTTTCAGCGTTTGAACTGAACATTGTCAGAGCTTTGCTCACCACCCTATTGACTTTTGTGTCACACTGTGGGTTAGCTTTGCTGAGTGCTGTAGGAAATCTGCTAAACGACATCCGTTATAAAATATTTTTGCTATTTTTAAAAGTGAATAATTTACTGAGGGAAGACTAAATTATGCAGGAAGAGATCTTTTTATACAGTGCTGTTTGGGCGCTGAGATACAAGTTAGGATTTATTTAGGTATGACAGTAACTGTATGACAACCGAAAACCTTAAATTTTTTTTCAAAGCATAACTGTGCTGCAAGCAACAGTGTAGATTTAGGTGAACTCATACTGTGACAAACTGAGAATGGAGAAAACACATTTCTTGTCCATAAAAGGACAGATCACACATCCACAGAGGGTAGCTCTGATTTTGCAGCAGTTCCAAACTATGAAGTGGGAACTCACTATTGCTCAAAGGAGCTTTGCTTAGAGCTGATAATGGATTCTCCAATAACACTTTTTTTCCTTTGTTTTGTTTTATTTTGTTTGTTTGTTTTGTTTTCCTTCTTATACAGAAAATGATGATCTCTTGAAGTGGAAAGTTTTCTGTTTAAGAGGTCTAATTTCTCAGCAATTTCTTTTAGGAAAACCACAGAATACACAGTATCACCAGCAAATCGAGGGAGGTGATCCTTTCCCTTTATTCAACACTGGTGAGACAGATCTGGAGGGCTGTGTCCAGTTCTGGGCTCTCCAGTACCAGAGAGAGATGGAGCTACTGGAGTGAGTCCAGCGAAGGGCCACAAAGCTGATTAAGAGACTGGAGCATCTCCCATATGGAGAGCTGGGATTGTTGAACCTGGATAAGAGAAGGTTCGAGGGAAATCTTATCAATGTGTATAAATATTTGATGGGGAAAGTAAAGAAGAGAGAGCCAGACTCTTCTCAGGGGTATCTCATAACAGAGAGAGGAGCACAAATTGAGGCAATCACCATGAATTGAAATACAGGAAACGTCACTGAAACATAAGAATTTTTTTTTATTTTTTTATTTTTTTACTAAGAAGCTGGCCAAACACTGAGAAAGGTTGCCCAGAGAGGTTGTGGAGTCTCCATCCCTGGAGTTACTCCATATCAGACTGGACCTTGCTCTGAGCAACCTGCTTTAGCTGATTCTGCTTTGAGCAGAGGGGTTGGACTAGACAGTCTCCAGAGGTCTCTTCCAGTATCCAGTACTTGTGATTCTGTAAACCTGCATCTCCTGGGGGACTCATCTGCAATGTGGGAGAACCAAGGTCAAGGCTATTTTGAATCAACTGAAGCAGTACTTCCGCCAGGGTTTCCCATATTGCATGAGTGCTGTAACTGTACGAGTTCAATATTTGCCCCTCTAACCCGCTACTTCTGCAACAATTTAATTACAGTTGGTATGCTTCTAAATAAATGGTTTGTCTCCATGATATGATATTTTACAGCGAAAACTAGTTTCATTTAGTTATGAGCACACATACAAAATAGGCAAGTAACAACAGGGAAAATGCACCTCCCTAAACAAGTGCTCGAGTATCCCCACAGTTCTCAACTGCACAAACAGGGTGACAGATAAGTTGAACCAGAAATGACAAATGAGCTCCTTGAAGATGTCCAGAAGCTAGAATTAGGAGGACACTATGAGAATCCATAAAGAGCAGAGCAGGGCAAAGAACAGTAGAGAAGAAGCCAACTTTTAGGTTGACATTTTTCAGAGTCTTGGTCTTAACTTCATTTTGACCTGCTTGAACAAGACTTCAGTTTCAGAGGGGGTGAGTCGTCCATCTGTCTTTGAGTATTCTAACTACAGTCAGTTCTGTTCCACTTCATATGTAAAGCACTGAGGAACGTCATTCAAAAGAAACAAATAAATAAGCAAAAAAAAACCCTAGCGCCTGCAAACAACAAGAAGTACAAAATGCTCTGTGGATACACCTGAACTTCACTCTTGCATTTCAGAGGCCTAATCATTGCTTTCCAAAGTTCAAAATATAAGAAAGCCCTCTTTGCTGCTTGAAACTGTATCTTTTTTCTCCAAGAATGCTTTCCCTTATGGCACCAGATAGAGCTATTGAAACTGTATTATTTCTCAGTGTATATTGATGCTCTCAGGATAAAAGTTAAACACAAGCCAGTCCTTATGGAAACAAAAGGTGCTGTAACTTACCTAAATGGTGTCTTTATCATTTTATATTAAAAATATTATTATTCAAGTTGCTTGCTCAAAGTGGCCTTGCTATTTAGAGGGTGGGAATTTTGTGGATCTATGATATCTTAACAAACAAAAATTAACAACACCTAGCAAACTTGACAGAACTTTTCCATTACTCTGCATAATCTTGTTGCATCTGAAACGGAACTGCTCTACTAAATAGGCTTTGTAAAAGTGACTTGGCCTCTATCTGGTGCCATGAATTAGTCATACTTTCCGAAGAAGTAGCAACTTACCTCTGTGGGGCAAGGACCTAAGTGGGATATTTGCCATTATGCACAGAAAGAAGAAAAGTGAGGTCATCCTGGAGAGTGCATGAAATTTAGATGAAACCGGCTGAAAAAAAAATCAATAAGTAGTTTCATTCATTATAAAATATTATCTTAAAAGAAATACACAGCCTAACTGAGTCTGTAGAGCACATAAGATACATATAAAACATTCTAAAAACAGAGAACAGAATTTTCATGTTTATAGCATCCAGTAAACATCTTTATTTAATTGGCTTTATGTTAACTTTCTGTTTCTTTTCAGATCTTACAGGTGAACAAGGTGATGTCCATCTTGTTTTATGTGATATTTCTTGCTTATCTTCGTGGCGTCCAATCTACCAACATGGATCAAAGGAGTTTGCCAGAAGATTCAATAAATTCTCTCATTATTAAACTAATTCAGGCAGACATTTTGAAAAACAAGCTTTCAAAGCAGATGGTAGATATTAAGGAAAACCATCATAACACAATGCAGAAAGCAGAGGCTCATCGGGACATGGATGGAGTTGAAAATGTGAAATCAGACTTCCAGCCAGTTATCCCAGTGGATACAGACCTCTTAAGGCAGCAAAGACGCTACAATTCTCCCCGGGTCCTCTTAAGTGACAACACGCCGTTGGAGCCCCCGCCATTGTATCTCATGGAGGATTATGTTGGAAGTTCGGTAGTGGTGAACAGAACCTCCCGGAGGAAAAGGTATGCGGAGCACAAGAGCCACCGAGGGGAATATTCCGTTTGTGACAGTGAGAGCTTATGGGTCACGGACAAATCCTCTGCTATCGACATCAGAGGACACCAGGTAACTGTGCTGGGAGAAATTAAAACAGGCAATTCTCCGGTCAAACAATACTTTTATGAAACAAGGTGTAAAGAAGCCAAGCCTGTAAAAAATGGCTGCCGAGGCATCGATGATAAGCACTGGAACTCCCAATGCAAGACATCCCAAACTTACGTTAGAGCACTGACTTCAGAAAACAATAAACTTGTAGGCTGGAGATGGATCAGAATAGATACCTCCTGCGTGTGTGCGTTGTCAAGAAAAATAGGAAGAACATAAATCTGCATCTCTTTGCTATATAAATTATTACTTTAAATTATGATATGCATGTAGCATATAAATGTTTATATTGTTTTATATATTATAAGTTGACCTTATTTATTAAACTTCAGCAATTCTACAGTATATAAGCTTTCTCTCTCAATAAATAAGAGTAAAGGGTGTGTGCCTTTGCTGTGGGCAACTCCAGTTTTATTAGACTATGTTTGTGACACTGCTTGTCGGCAGCATACCATAACCTTACTGTAAAATCTGTGTAAATCAGTATTCTTAATTCAGTATTGTCAAACCAGTCATTTAGTAAACTTGTTAAAAATCAGATCAACATCAAGAGTTGTGTACATATTTATAATCCCCACTGTATACATTCACATCTAATTGGATGCAGTGTCAACTCCTCACCATCAAAACAAACATGAACCATAATGTGCATTGTAGCCTGCCAATGTTGCAGGCATCAAGTAGCCATAAAATACAGTTTCTGTATATTATGCCAGTTTTGCCATTGAAATGACTTTTTTTTCCCTCTGTTAGGGTTCCAGAATGACTGCTAATAATCCAGCAACTTTCATTTACCTTTTTTTCTTTTGTAACTGTTTTTAATGCTGCCAGTTCTTCTTACAAATAATTTGAAAAAAATCTAAAATGTTTGTAACAGAACCTTACTGAAGCCAAGAACTAATGTAAATGGATCATTAATATAATACATAAGAGATGATTTCTTCAGAATACACTATTTATTGTGGTCAGCTTCTTCCTCCTCATGGTAATCTATTACCTTCTGCTTGCACTGTTACATCATTCCTCTCTGTCTAAGTTTTTAAATTAGAAACAAAGCTGACGATGTCTTAACATTAAAAGAGCCCTTGGCTTCAGAACTGTAGTAAAAAAAAAGAGATGATATCCTGGAATGGATATCAAAGCCATACACCCTCACAAAGCTGCTCTTTTGCTCAGCAACCCCTTACCCATTTTTTCATGGAAAGAAACCTGTGTAGAACTGCTCGACAATGCTGGTACCTATCACAGGAGGATAAAAAAATATAGCTTTCTGAGCAATATTGAAATTACAATCCATTTTGTCCATAGTTATAATGAAGTTCTTCAATCATACAGGTGAGTTGTTACTTGGAACAGACAAACGTACTAGTGTATACTTCAAACAAATCCTTGTATTGTTGAGTAGCTGTACTGGGAACAGTATAATTATACTACCCAAAGAGATGGTCTACTATATATTAGCTGTATCATGCCCTGAATGAGATCTGACTCCCATTAAAGTTAATGAGTGTTTTGTCATGGATATCAACAGAATTAGATTAGACCGCATATGTCATCTATGTTTAGCTAGATCTTAAGCCACAACTAGGGCTGGAAAATGCCACCTGCTTGAAAATCATTGCAGCTATAGTGGTCTTAAGTTTCTAAGTTATGGCTTCCACTGTTGCAGTGTGTTCAGCGTTGCAAGTGAAAATGAGAGCAGAGCATCAAAAAACAGGGTGGGAGGACACCATTGTTCGTATAGTTTTTATTACTGGAGAAGCAACTTCAAATCTGCAGCAGGTCATCAGAGGCAGCAAATTGTGTGGTCTCATCCAATCCCTTATGGAGAGCATTATACCTCATAAAACCACTGGAGAACTGGACCAGGTTGCTCAGGAGGCCAAGCACTGGAATAGCAGAAACTCTGAAAGCCAAAACTGGACTGTATAGGTATGAGTCTGCAGGGGAGGCCATATACAAAGGTTTTGAGAACCCTCTCAATTTTTTACATGAGGCCAGGGTATTTACTTCACAGGAAATGTCATCACCTTGGAAAACTAAATCCTAACTTTGCCTCAAGCACTAATAACTTTAGAGGTTCAATACCAAGGACATTGTTAAAAGGAAAGAGATGATGTCATATAACAAGCAACTCAGTATCCAGCGGAGCTGATGAGAATTTTTCTGCCTTCTCCTTTACTGGCAAACAAAAAAAAATTCTCAACACATTTTTTGCTAGTTTTACTAGCAGGAAAGCTCAAGTTTCAACAATGAAAAAATAACTCCTATCCATTCATTTTTCTGATTTGGAGGAGAAGCATATTTTTCAGGGGGCATTTCCAGTGATTTTTTTTAAGTTAAAAAGACAATTTTGCACCCCACATTCCCAAATAAAGATCAATTTCAGATGCTGTAAGTAATTGAGAGCAGCTATTGTCATGGATCATTAACTTTAGAGATCTCCATGCTGCAGCATGCCAAATAGGTCCGTGTCCGTACGAGAAGAGGAAGTAAGAATGCTAACTGAGCTTATTTAGACACTGTTGTTTACTGACCGCAAATCCCATTAACTAGTGACTTCAGTGTTCCTGGAAGTGTGGATGCCACACTTGCTTACATCACTGTAAATCCAGATAAATTCTATGGAAGTTAGGGAGAAAATGTGGGTTTATAGCAATGTAAATAACATTATAGTCTTTCTGAATGCCTTTATTTCTGCTCACTGAAAATGAAGGGAAATCCGTTCTGTATACGTTCAAAGTAAACACTTTGTCATTTTCCACTGTAAATGCAGTAACCAGAACTGGACTTTGACTCTTAACTTTACCAATGCATCAAGTATTTTACAAGCAGCCACTGAAAATGTGGTGGAGTAAATATAATGCTGATCATCTGAAACATATTACATGAGAAAGAAAAATGGTTCATAAGGTTATTAGATCGTCTGCCTCTTTTCCATCTCAGCATAAGAATGAATAGAAGCGTTACCCTTAGGATCTGATCTGACTCCCTCTAAAGTCAATGGAAAAATTCTCACCGACTTCAGTGGAAACTGGATCAGGCCCTGAGCGAAGAAAAACTTGCAGTTCTCTACCAGAGAGCTGAGCAATTGCACACATCAGTTACGCATTCTTGTAAATCTTGTATACACATAAGATGCTGTATAATTTTGTAACAAGTTTGTAAACAAAGCTTGTAATAAATTTGCTAAGGTCTAATTCTGTTTTCAGTGTAGCCGGGGACGGTTTTATTGTCAACTTTTGTGATGGCACAATGAATTCAGAGTTCCCTCTCTAACCTCTTTGTACATGTGTTGAGTATAATTAAGCAAAATATTCAGCTCACAATACTAATTTAATCTGAGTATTTTAAAACTCATTCCGCTTAGGCAGCTCAGATGTTCTGTCAATAATGTTTTGCCAATAGATCATTATAAACACACATTTTATGTAGCTTTTCTCCTAAACAACTGGATGCTGTTCTGAAATTGCCTGTCTGTGTCAAACTATATTTTCTCCGATTTTTTCCAAGATTTCTTACAGTCCATTTAGTAACAGTAAAAAATGCTCCACTGAGGTTTTGGGAAACCATCTGCATTTGTTTTATCACCTTTGAACATGTGTTCAGGAATGAAGTCTGTGTAGCGAGTTTACTACTACCAAGAGATTTGTGCTGCTACACCAGGAAGAAACTTTGACTGGACTTTACAGAGTGTGCGCTCAAAACCACTCTGCTCATATTCTGTTATTTCAATGCTTTAGCAATCAGAGCCTTTCATTCAACTATACATTGTGTATATGCAGACAATACCAAACAGGAAACAAGTCTGATTGGGAGTTCTGAAATTAAAAATATAATGGTAATGACCTGCTATTTTTGACCTTTCAGCAAATGCATTTGCACAGCAAAGTAAACGCATAACCATTCATTCTGTTTAATAGAAACACTGTGGCAAAATCAATGGGATTCTGTGTTCTCCACACTTGCTGCGGGTATGCAATTCATCATGCATGTGGGGCGGAGGGGAGCAAAGGCAGGAGGAGGAGAGGATAATAAGCACTATAGCTAGTGAGAAGTAAAAAGTTGTGCTTCGTGTTAGAGCATTTTTAAAGTACGGAGGGCTTGTTTTCCTGCTTTGCCTGTATTTTGTTACAGCAGATGGCAGAATGACGAAGCAAACACAGATGTGGTGCAAAAAGTCAAGTAACGTAAGGATAATGAAATCTTCCCTGCGAGTGTCTGCTCTTCGCTACTGCTGTAGTCCATGCAGTTGTTTTATGCAGGTTATTGTGGAGTCCGGCAGTGACATTTCCCATTACATTATTTAACTGACTTCTGTGGCAAAAATTATAATTTTTTCTGAAAGCTTAAATTCATGAGCTGGACAATTTTCTGTATATGAATCATTAGCTTCTTTGGTACCTCAAATGAACAGCGAATGGTAATGCTTTCAATGAAGGTCCCCAAATGTAGACTTTTCCTTTGTTATACTGCTGAGCTTTGAAGCCAGCAGCACCTGAAAGCCATACTTTCACTATGGGACTGGCATTTTGATGTCATGATCTCATGTTTCCAGACACTTTTATCACAGGGTCCCATTTTGGAGCCATTAGCTACACAATTAGGTGAGATCATGAGCAGGCCTCTCTAAATCACACCTGAGAATTGACGTTGTGCACTGCAGGCATGGAGCAAAAAGACCGTGAAAGTGAGCGAGAACTACGCCATCTTTCCACATCTCCTACTCTGTTTGCATCTTGAGCTGAGAGCTACTCAGCCATAGTCAAGGACTGCTTTCTACATATCCAAGGGCTGAGATGCAGAACCAGGTAGGCTTTTGACAAAGGGATCATGAGTGCTTCTTGATTCACAGCTCCTGCCTGCCCAAAAGTGGTAGCCTCAGAGCATGAGGCAGATTAGGGCATTTCAGCTGCAGGAGAGGTGGGCGCAGGGGCTGAGGAGCAGAAGAGGGCTCCCCTTGCAGAGTATGTTCCTAGCTCCGTCATGGACTTCTTGTCTGAATCTGAATAAACCTTTTACCTCAATGCATCCTCCCAGACTATCATAGTCTGAACTGAGAAACATAGTGCCTGACTTCAAAGGTGATGGGCATCCATCTCTTTTAACACAGGGAGAAAAAAGGGTGCCAGAGCAGAGACCCTTGCATCCTCTTTGAAAAGGTGCTGTAATCTCAGCATGTCAGTTGCTCCCTCTATAAAACAGGATATTGTTACTATTTACCTATGCAATAGGGGGGAGAAGGGATAATTGATAGACCAGCTCCATTATTTGCAAATTACATTAAGACACTTTGACAGAAAATACTGATGTGTCCAGGGGAGGCTGCTTGTGAAGAAGACAGGATGTTCTTTTTCTCTAAGCAAAAGTATTTCCAGGATAGGTGGGAGAAAATAAAGCAATTGCTGAAAGGAGAGGAAGGAGAGGCTGTGCTGTGGCAAGCATCTTACAGATATTTAGAGAGAAGGATTGTTCAGCTATAACCTCAGATGAAAGGCTCTTTTCTGCTATTTTAAGAGTTTAAGAAACACCATGAGACTGAAACATTGAAGAATTCAGAAGGAAAATGAACTTAACTGAGGTCAATCCCGTTGCGTTGATTAGAAATTAGCCATGCCTGCCGAACAAAGATGATGAAGTCTTGCTTTTGGTTAACCTTATGCAGCCCCTGCTGTCAACACTTCAGGCTACAAATCTGTAAATGAGGGCAAAATTTGACTCAGAGGGTATTAAATCCAAATTGAATGCATAAGGGGGGACTGAAGTTGAAGGTATTATCCACCACACAAAACAAGTCAAGGTTTTAACATAGTAACGTAAAAATTGCCTGATTTTCTATCTAGTTCCAGGTATCTAAATTTTAAAACATATTTTGAACTGTCAGATATGACCAATGCACATATATTTAGCAGCAATTTACAAAAGAAAAAGAAACTGTAAATGGAAGTGTGCAGTAAAATAGTTTCTAGTATTGTAAATAACTTCCATTAATTCTCATTTATGCTTTCAATGTCTGAGAAAGGTATTTTAAAATAAATCTTGGCTTTGTTTTACACACGATGTTTTGTATAATAAGCACCTCAACTTACTGCTTGTCAATGTTTGCAGTATGTAATCTATGTGGAAAATGAGGCAGAAATAGGGCTCTAAATGCATTCCACATTTGTATAGTAGATAGTTGAAGCAAGCATATGAGAGTGACAGAATCTGCTTCTCAGTTTCATAGACTAAATATGTTTTAAAATATCAAACGACAGCTTTTGTCAAGTTATCACCAAATACCTTGAGTCAGATTCATATGTGACGCAGCCTACTGCTCACATGGAACATACTTTTTTTTAATCTTTGTTATTGCTCAGCTGTACTAAATGTGATTCCCATTAAGTTCAGAAGATAGAAATTTGCTCATTTCTACACTGCTGACAGAGCATACACTCTAACCCCAATATATGAACCAAAGCAGAGGTCAGACCGTGATCTCTGAATTTATGCCCTGAGGAAAAAACTTCCAGGAAGGAATTGTTTCCATTCTGCAAAGAGTAAGAGCTCACCGCTGTCACGCTGTCTATTCTGTGATATCAAAAATGTCTATGTTTGAATCCTGAAGGAGGCAGAAACAGGCTGACTGGAGAGCTGAAGGTTAGAAGAAATGGAATGAGTAGGGTAATAATTATTACATTGGTTCCTTGAAAATTAGACCCCTCAGACACATAAAATAGCCTGTATAGCCATCATGAATGCAGGACATTTCGTGATCCGACTTGGAGGCACATATTCCCTAGGTCAATAATCTTTGGCCATCTTGGATTCTTGAGTCTCAGGGTCAGGATGTGGTGCTTTTCCAAGGCGGGGGTAAAGGTGAAGAAACCTCTTCTCCCAATATAATCAGATAACAGGCAACTATGCAAAAGAGAGTTCTCCTGGGAACAGCCTTGTCTCAGTCTCCCATGGCTTTTTGTTGTGGGTTGTTTTTTTTTTTTTTTTTCCCGGAAAAAGAGAAGATATGGGTTCCTGAGAAAGGCCTGCTACATGCAGTTTTCTCAGTCTGGAGAAAAGGGCACTGAGAACATAATTGGATAGAAAAAGGAAAATTCTTCTTCAGCAACTTTATTCAGTGATCTGTTTTCCCTTCAGGTTTCCTTTTACTAAGCCAATGGTCCATCACAAAAATATGTGGTGAAGTTTTTTGACTTGGGTCCTGCTGTGGGGAGTCTTTATGTAAGAGTGGGAAACAGCAGTGCCACAGTATAATGACAGGATTTGAGAAGAGGGGCTCAGCAGCCTCTGTGGATCCTTCCTCTCCTTTTCTGAATTCCATGAAAACAGGAGTGTGTCAGTGGCAGAAAAATGGAGAGCAGCATTGTATAGCTGCACTATACATTTCTCCATTCACAACAGCTGGGCATGTAGAGCAGGAGGTCTGCACCATCATCTCAGATTGTACCTGGGACAGGTCCTTCAGCTCCCCCCATGGGATATTTGGGAAAGAAGAATCCATGCTGCCATTTTGCAAAGGAAATTTAACAATTATCGCAGCAACCCTGCAATGGTTTGGACGTGGCTCACAGAAAATAAAGGATTAAAGAGAAAGGCAAAAGTGGGTATTTTTAAACAATATTTACATTTCAACATTTTTAATTGCATCCAGAATCTGCAGAATAAGCCCACTTGAATAGCGAAAAATATTTAAGTCATCCATATAATTTTAAGGGGAAACCACAGTGCCTCCCACCCAATAATAAATTTGTAACTCTATTTTGAGCTCACACAGGTTTAGTGTCTGACTGCAGTAGGATTAATCCCAGTTTTGACTGAAGCACTAAAGCCTGGACTCATGTGTTGTGACATTTTAAAGCAGGTGGTTAGCTTTGTACTTGATCAGATCTTAGTTTCTGTGTACCATGTAGCTGCTGCTTGTGGAGCTACATGATGAATACAAATTGAATTATATAATAAAATAGATTGCAGAGGAGGCTACACTTCTACGCTGTAGCAACTTTAAACTATGTCTGTCCTGCATGAAGGGGATATTGTCAGAACTCAGGTTTATTCAGTGCAGTTCACCAGGTAAACCCAGGGACTTTCTGTGACTGCAATGGACCATGGCTAAATACACTCCACTGAGAAACACCATGCATAGCAATTAAGAATCTGGCTCATTCTAAATTGTCTTTAATTCTTACTTCAGATATAACTTCACTAGGCCTTTTTTGCTTGAAGAAATGATGAGTAAGAAAAAAAAAAGCTAAACTTGCAAGTACTTCTGCCATTCAGAATTGAATTCGGAAATCCATAACTATTCCAGTAAAAAAAATGCTGGAAATTAAGGCTAAAGTGTGCATACTAAAAACTCCAAGAAGACGCAGATACAAAAGTATCATTTGTTATTATTATTATTCAGATACAAAAGTAGACAACAGCTTTAGATAACAGCAGTCTCATTGTCCTGAGGAACAGAGGCACCCTTCTGAGCATTTGTTTAATCCACCCTAACTTCACATCTTTGCTTTCCCAAGCATCTTTCAGCAAACAAATATAATTAATATCAAAACTGTTACTACCTTATAAATAATCCAGAAAATGCAATCTAAAATAAATTGAAAATGATTCTTTCTGTATAAACATCACATCCTTAATTCTACAACCTTTATCAGCCTTGAGTAGTGTGAATAGAAACTTGTTTGACAAATTTGCAAATTTGCAAATTAAGGCAAACAGCTTGACTTTGTGGGCTTGGAAAACTTCTTTGGGATTTCTTTCTTTGTTTGTTCTTCCATAAATTCTTCATTAGCACCAATTTTTTTTTATTTAAAAATAATCTGAAGTA